ATAGGAAACTGGTATTTGTAATAGTGGATTTGTTAATACTTTTTACATAACATTGCTGTTTAAACTGTAAACAGATTTTTTCTCAGGATTAGTTTGAAAAATAATATGAATTGTCATTTTAACATCCATTTATAAGGAAATGATTGGCTTTCTGGCTCAATTTGCTTTCCTCAGCATTGGAATGACTTAATGGAACCATTGTGAACTGCTGCAAAAATTTTTTCCTCTCTAAAGGAAAAAGCTTATGGTGACAAATGATGTTTGTTTTATTTTGTAAAAAAGGGAAGTAAAAAAAAGAAAAAATGTACTATGTACTTTTGTTCAAACACTGAAACACCTCTAGTCATCTCTGAGAATTAACTTGCAACTGTTTTCTAAAGTGCTGTCGTCTTGAGCAATGGACAGGTACATGACTTTATGTTTGTTTCCTTTGCAGTCTTTCTTTCTTTTCTTTTCTTCTTCCTATTAGGAAACAGCAGACAAAAAACCTCCCCAAGTCTTGTCCTATTCCTGTTGCAGTGAAACCTCCACTTCCCCAGAACTTTGCATGCTGCCTCCTCTGACCCTATGTGCTGCGTGTGCTTGTTTGCCTCATCTTTTATTCTTTTTAAAATACATGCTTAACTACTGTGGGAGAGAATAACTGTAAGCAGCTTTAATTAAATCATCCTTATAAAGAACTATTTTCTTATACTTCACTCTATGTTTTTGGAATTGTTTATCTCTAAAAATTAAATGGTCTTTGATAATGGATCTATTTTGTATTGCCTTATTAAGACCAAATACTTCTTGTCATCCCATTCTTTATCCTCTCCTTTCATGGAATTGTTACCTTGAATTAAAACTTTTTTAAACATGGGCTTATTTCAATCATAATGTAAATTTTGGTTGTGGTCAGCTTTGAGTACAAATGAGATGTATAATTGTTATTTATCATATATTGAGTTTGAAATTCAGTTGGGGATATTTGATATAATAGAATGTAAGTGACATTTCTTAAATGCTTTCTTTTCAAGGTGAAAGCTCTTACATTTACCATCAAAATTTGTGGCTCTGTTAGATGCAGCCATTTCTGAGATGAATTAATATATAGAGGCTCACACATATATATTTATTTATTTTACTATTGGATTTAGAAATTTCTTTTATATACATTTATGAAATAATAAGACCAATCTGATCACTAATGGACAGTTAGTGCAACTTTTTATAAAGAAAATAATGCTAAAAAGTAAGGCCAAAACTGATGTCATCACTGAAATTGACATTTTCAATGTGTTCATATTTTAAGTCATAAAAACTGTGTTCCAAAACTGGAATCTGATATACTTATGTAAACTGTGGAAGATTTTTAATGTGATTTTATTTTGTCAATTGTCTTAATTTTTAGAGTCACATTTTACTCTGATCAGAATTTTTATCAAAGATGTTGAACTTTGGTTTTTTTAAACCAGTTTGTCATAACATATTGTGCATAATCACAGTATTTATTTTCTAGGACTATTGTGAATGTATAGACTTATGTTTACTGCTAAGGGAGCAATTATTTATAAAATATTAAATCCAGTATTAGCTGCCTACTTCAGACACTTAATACTTACAGAGATCCATATTACATTGACCACACTGAAGTTGTTGTTGTTGTTTTAAGAATCACCCTCATTGTTCAAAGTAAATGTACTCTTAGGGTGCAGATATTTGTGTCCCAATAAGCATGTGATTTAGTAAGGTGATATTAAGGTGGTGGTATCGGGAAGATAATCTTGATTCCATTCGGAATCTTAGGTTTTCATAAATTTATTGGGAAAATAGTTTTTCCTGTACTGTTGACGTTTCTTTTTGGTAAACAGTATCTTTTTAAAGAAAAAGCATGAAGGAGAAATTGAGGTGCGTACATTTCCTCAAATGACCAGCATTGTATTAGTGAATACTGTATCTTCCTACAAACAGTGTGGAAGCTGTTCATTTTTCAATCTGAAGTAAAAAACTTTCAAGAATTGTTAGTTTGCCTCCTCATTTATTTTGTACATTTCATTTCTGTATTTAACTTCTGCCTTATTTCTTTTTTGCGTTGCGACACTTTCTATAAAACTTTTGTATCAGGAATGTGTCATTTATCTATTAGAGTTCACTCACATCCGTGAATCATAACCATTCTTTGCCAGTACTTATAGAACAAGATTTTATAAATTTTGTCTTAGTGTGTTAACATTTCTTTGACAGTCATGTATGTGTGTTTGTTCAGAATCAAAACACTAAAAAGTAATTTAAAAAAAAAAAAGTCTGATTTTTAGAAGTGCTGATGGAGCAAACAGATGTCAGCACAAAACTTCACTGGTTATATTTTGAAGCTAAAAGTAAATGCTTTTTTTAAAAACCCCTCAGTTTTAGGGTATCAATAAAGGTGCCTGGTTTTTAGTGTCTTTGTTTGGAGATGTTGCATTCAGTTTTCAAATCTAGCTCTAACCTATGGGATCTACTATTTTATATGTTAGTTGCCCTCATCAACAGTTATCATCCTATTTGGAGTATGGTTTACTTTTGCTTGTATTTTGAGCCTCCCATGAATTTATTTGTTTTGGATCCAGATAGTTCTGATTTAAGTCTACACAGAGTGAAACACTGGTAGTAGGGAGAATTTGTTTTCTCCTGTGGAGTCACCTTGTCATAAGTGTGAGTTGTGTTTGCCTTAACCTCTGGACTAATGTTTGGGTTTCCAGAAGTGCAGTTAGGGTCAGGAGAGAGTATGCCTGCTGTGAACTGCAAGATCCTGTTGCTGTAACGTGTTCATTGCAAAGACCTCCCCAGTGTTGTTGAGTTGTTGAGATGTAGTTGTTGAGTTGCTCTTTAGAATTCACAGTTATCAGGTCATTATTGATGTTTTGCTAATCATTTTATTTATAAATAAATCTCTATTTTATTTTGATATTGATCTACAGTTTGATCAGTTCTTTCAATTGTAACATGTTGTTAAGTACTCTCAAGTTGGTTGTGACCCTATATAGAGTTTCTGAGGAGCAGTTGGTGGGTTTGAACCACTGACCTTGTAGTTCAAACTGACCTTATGGTCGAGCACATGATCATGCAGTGCCATATCAGGACTCCACACTGCTGATATACTATTTTTTTTAGGGCTTCAGACACTAACACGGAATGCTTATAGCTTATAGAGAACTGGCTACTTCTGAAGTAGCTTATGATAACTAGAAAAGATATTCCCAATTTTATGCTGCTATGACGTAGTGGTTACAAATTGGTCTGCGAATCACAAGGTCAGTAGTTGGAAACTACCAGCTGTTCGGCGGGAGAAAGATGAGGCTTTCTGCTCCTGTAAAGATTTACAGCCTCGGAAACCCTGTACAGGGTCGCTATGAGTCAGAACTGACTCCACAGCACATAACCACCACCACCATAAATATTGAAATGTTAAAATTCATGAGCAAAATATTTATTCTTATCTATCAATTCTTGGTCTCCTATCACATTAAATTGTTTTAATTTAGTGAAAAGCAGCATCTCAAAGTATTTTGTGAGTAAAATATTTTATAAATGACTTAAATTTAATTGAGTAAAAAGTTATATCTAATAGTCACTCTATAGTAATAGTCATCGAAATATTTTAAAAACGACACAGCATTCAAGTGGACACAAAGATTTGTGTAAGTAATTCTTTGAAGGTGTTAACTTTGTTTTGCTAGCCTGTCATTTTGTCAAAACAGGTATGGATGATGAAATAAATGCTAGAAAACAAATTTTAATATGTGACTTGATATTTATCATAAAGACACATGACAGATGTTATTGTAGAAATTATTGGCATGGCTCACAACTTTCAAGTATTTTTCTTGACCACCTTTTTTTGTAAGCTTTCTTGACCTCATATCAAAAGCAACAACTTTTTTTCATGAAATAGAACGAACTAAATATGAGTGAAAATTGACTTGATAAAATTATCAGAAAGCTTGTTTATAAAATCTGCTGATTATGTAATTGTTGTTGTTAAGTACCATGGAGTCAGTTCCGACTCATAGTGACCCTGCACAGGGTTTCCAAGGCTGTAAATCTTTACGGAAGCAGAAAGCCTCAGTTTTCTTCCGTGGAACAGCTGGTAGTTTCGACTTGCTGACCTTCAGGCTGGCAGCCCAAATCATAACCACTACACTACCAAAGTAATATCCAGGATTAAATAAGGAAATTTTTAGTTAACAAATGGATGTTTGTTTTATCCAATGCCAGTTTTTTTTTAAGCATTTGCCTTTTGTATTTTCTATATAAGTGGGTGCCTTATTAAGTTAAGCCTAGTTTTTGTTCGAATAGCTAGAAGGAGATGAACCAGAGAGATGGAAATAGTGTGACCCTTTCATATTTAAATGTAAATTTTTGTTGGTATTTGTATATCATCTTTATTTTTATGTATTAACATATGAATTTGTTCTCATGCTTTTCATTGCATCAGCCTTTGAGTGATCTGATAACAGGAAGGCCTCCAACTACAACAGCTTAGTTGAATTATTTAGTTACTCACTTGTTATGTTGTTAAGTGCTGTCAAGTCAATTTTGACTCACAGCAACGCTGTATAGGGTTTCCAAGGAAAGCAACTGGTG